GGAATCATTGCTCTGCTGTTTCCTAGCCATGTGACCTTGGGAAAGTCACTTCCTCTCCAAGGGCCTCAGTTTTCCCAACTGTACCAGGAAGGAGTTGAATTAGCTGCCTTCCAGCCCTGATGCTCTAGGTTCAGAGGTTTCTCTCCACTCTGACACCTTATATACCCTGGGGAAAAATTATTTCATTATTTATTTTTAATATTCACTTTTAAAAATTGTGAGTTCCAAATTCTCTCCCTCCAATCCCTCCCTCACCCATTAAGAAGGCAAACAGCATGATATCAATTACACACATGAAATAATACAAAACATATGTCTGTATTAGCCATGTTGCAAAACAATAAAAAAAAAAGGTAAGAAAAATAAAGAAAGTTTAAAAAAGTCTGCTTCAGATTTATCCATTCTTGCTCTGGAGAGAGAGAGTATTTTTCATCCTGAGTCCTTTGGAATTCCCATCTTAGGTCCTACAGTCCTTTTCCAAGATCCTTTCTAGCTCTGACATCCCATATTCTAAGGTTCCTTCTAGCTTTGACATTCTAGGTTCAGAGGTTTCTCCCAGCTCTGACATCCCATGTCCTAAAGACCTTTTTCAAGATTTCTCCCAGCTCAGACAATCCCTGTTTCAAGGTCCCCCCAGCTCTGACTTTCTGTCATTCTGAGCTCTGCCCTTTACATCCGATCCTGGGGCTGCCTGAACTTAAGGAAGCCTGGCTCGGTACCATCCCATTTCTCTTAGTAGCACATGGTATTTCAGAAGGAAGAAGACCTGGACAACATCATGAACTGGCAGCCCTCTGAGGTAAGCCTGGATCAACCTCCTGCCCAGAGCCCCAGCTCCCAGCCCTGCCTGGCTCTCCCCTGGGGTCTGGCTGCCTGGTCTGTACCATGAGCAGTCTTGACCTTGGGGCCTCTGAGGACCATCATGACTGCTTCTTCTGTGCCTAGGTCCTCCAGTTATATGACACAGGCGGCTTGAGTGGTTATGGCCGAGAGGGCTGCCCTGTGTGGTTGGATACCACTGGCTGCTTGGATCCCAAAGGGCTGCTTCTGTCCAGCAGCAAATCAGCAATGGTCAAGAAACGGATCCAGATCTTGGCACTCCTCCTTCGGGAATGTGAGCTACAAAGTGAGAAGGTGAGAGACGAAAGGGGGAAGGCTGAGATAGGGCATGGGGGGAGTGGTCCCAAGAGGACAGAGAGGGAAAGAAATCCCTGTGTCTCAGCCCATTGACCCTGGGGCTATAGCCCCTCAGCTTGCCCCTCTCGAGCTCTCTTGAGTCAGACAGCAGCTCTCAGATGGCTAAAAGGGGACACCTTAAAGGTACATGTCTTTGAATGCATTTTTTTTCCCTTCTGTGACCCTGGTATGGTAGGGGAGGCATCAGCTGGAAAAGACCCTGGCTTTAAAAGCAGGAGACCTAGGTTCATATTGTAACAGTTTCAAAAATGAAGGTAGACTGAGGCACCAAGTTCCAAGCACAATCAATTTATTAGAGAAGTATGAATTTACCAATAAATAGAATTTGAGCTTCCTAGCAAAGCTCTGATCCAATTAAGGAGTGAACAGCCCTTTTTATCGTTTGAGGGAGTACAGAAAATAGGAAAGCTAGCAACATAGATGTGACTGGATGGAAATTGGGAATGAAGACAGGCAACAGCCCCTTTCTTCCCTCCTGTGACTAAGAAACATTCACTGAGTCCAGCTGCGCCTGCAAGGACAGAGAGCAAACCAGACATCTAGGAAGGATAGCTTGGTGCTGTAAAGATACTAGACTAGACTCCCTGGTGCCCACCTGCATCCATCAAGAGTAACAGACATCTTTGACACAAGAATAGAGCAGTGATTAACTAGAGAACTGGATTTCTAAAGTTAACTCATTGAGCCAGCTCAATTTATATTTTTTTAATTATTATTATTTTTAGGCAATTGGGGTTAAATGACTTGCCCAGGGTCACACAACTAGTAAGTGTCAAGTGTTTGGTCTGAGGCCGGATTTGAACTCACGTCCTCCTGACTTCAGGGCCAGTGCTCTATCCACTGAGCCACCTAAATGCCCCAACTAGCTTGATTTCTGAATTATGTTCAGAGACTGGGCAGTTACAGGACAAAATGAATGACTAACCGTGTCCGAGGCAGTTATGGGACAAGATCAATTCATCAGAAATAGGATCAATTCAAAAAAGACGCAGAATCAATGTGATTATTTCAGTATTCTGGCTGTGCAACTTTCTAGCTGTGTGACCCTGAGCACGCAAGTCTGGGAGACTGGAAGTCAGTTAGTCAGTCAGTGAGCATTTATTAGTTTCCTCTGTGCCTGGCACTATGCTAATCACTGATAATGCAGATACAAAATGGTAACAGTCCCTGTCTTAGGGAGCTTACATTCTAATGGATAGAGGTGACAGCTGATGAGGTCACTAGAGAAAGAACATAGGCAGAGAAGAGAAGAGGACCTGAAACCTAGCCCTAGAAACCACAGGGTGTAGGACTTGGGTCTTTACCTCTCCCAGGAGATTGAAAAGGAGCAATCAGACAGGTAGGAGGATCCAGGAGGATCCAGGGAGGGGGAGAGGGTTGTAAACCATGTTGAGCAGTGTGGAAGAGACCAATGACATTGGGAGTTGAGAGACCGCAGGTGCCTAGAGAGAGTGGCTTCTGGCCAGTGATGACAGCTAGATTATGAGTATAACCCAAGGAGAGTCTAGACAGCTCTCTGACATTTGAGTGAGCAGGACTTCCTTTCATGGAGGACTTGGGATCTGACCTCAGCCTTGAAGGAAGGGAGGGATTTCAGCAGATGGAAACTGAGGGAGGAAAACAGTTGCAGGCATGGGGGTGGCGTGAGCAAAGTCCCAGGTTGGATGAGGGCATATTTAGGACAGAGGATGTAAGCAGAGTGATCCAGTTTGTCTGGAACAGAACAGGATGAGCTATGGCTGGAGAGATTAGAGCCAGATTCTGGAAGACCTCGAATACCAGGCTCAGTTTTGTTTCTTAATCCAAGAGATGGCAGGGAGCCCAGGAGGGTTATTGAGCAGGGCAGGGACAGTGTCTTATATCCCCTACTGCTCCTAGCACTGACTCATGTGCAGTAATTGCTTCATAAATATTTTTTTCTAATTGGGGCAGGGGTGTTAGAATTGGCTGCAATGCTAAAAGGTGCCCTCAGTGCCAACTGCGACCCCCTCAGTCCCTTCCCTTGTTCTCTCCTATTCCAGAGACTGCATCTATTACTTAGCCCCCGATGGTGTAATACACAGGTCGGCCACCAGATGGCACTCCAGCTACCCATGAGTAGCCTACTGCCCTCACTGGCTCCCATGCCCTTGTTCCAGTAGAGAAGGAGCAGTAAAGTTTAGAAGACACGATTTGTGGTATATTCAAAATGACTTTAAAAGCTGCCAAATCCCTCCTCAGCTCCCTCCAGCCTCCATTTTCCATGGCTGCTTCTCCCCAGGGCACCTAGGTGGTGCATTGGTTAGAGCACTGGCTTGGACTCAGGAAGAATCTGGCCTCAGACACTTGGTAGCTGGGTGACTCTGGGCAAGTCACTTATCCTGTTTGCTTCAGTTTCCTCATCTGTAAAATGGGCTGGAGAAGGAAATGGCAAATCACTTCCGTACCTCTGCCAAGAAAATCCCAAATGGAGTCATGCGGGTTGGACAGGACTGAAATGACGGAGCAAAAGCTTCGCCCCCTCCATCGTGACTCCCAAACTCATAAGCTGAGAGAATTTGCTGCTCAGGGCCACGTGCCTACGTGCTGTATCAGCCCCACCAGGCCCAACTTGTAGGCGCATCAGCTAAGAGCTGAGAGGTACCTTTGAGGCCAGAGTCCAACTGCCTCTTTACTCATGAGGCCCAGAGAGTTCAGTGGTCTGATTCTAAAGAGCCCCACGGCTCTATCCACTGCATCACTGAGCTGCACTGAAGCTCACCAGGCCCCAGATTCCCGATCCCCAAATTAGGGAACGGGATAAAACGGTCTCTGGTGCCTTCCGGTGCTGACTTAACGAATGGATGACCTTCTTGCTGGATGACCTGCACCGTCTCTCCCAGCTCTGAATCTCCCGAGTGCAGCCAACCCTGGTTGGACCATAAACAGCCGGTCACCTGCCCCTGCCAGATGAACGGGCCTGTCTTTTTGTCCTTACAGCTGGGAAAGAAGATTGAAACTTTCATTATGATATTTGACCTAGAGTGTCTGGGCCTGAAGCACTTTTGGAAGCCAGCTACAGAAATCTACCAGGAGGTGAGGAGGGAAGGGGGACTTAGGGGTGGGGGAGACCTGGCCTCAGCTCAGCTGAGCTGGGGGCAGTCAGGTCCCTACAGCAGCGAGTCTTTCCCTTCACCCTCAGGGTGAAGCTCGGGCCAGGGCTCTGAGCCCACAGCATAGTGAGGCCTTTGGCTCAAAAATTCTAAGTCAGGGAAAATGGCTGAAGTTCTGTGAGGAGGGGTACCCTGGGGGCAGAGTGCTCAGGTTGAACAGAAAGAACACCAAGAAGACCTGGGTTCAAGGCCCACAACTGTGTGACCTTGAGTAAATCACCTCTTAACCTCTCTGGGCCTCAGTTTACTGATCCATAAAATGAAGGGAATGGGCCCTTCCAGTTCTAAATCCACTAATCTCGTGGTCTCCAAGGGTCCTTCTTTTGGGATCTAATGGTCTCTCACAGGATGTGGAAGCAAGAACACTGGATTGGTAGGTGAAATCAAATATTCTAGATCCACCTTCGCTATTCATTATTGCAAATTACCAAAAAACCAAACATAACTTAGGCTTGATGGAAGACAAAGTTTCCTAACAAGGAGAGCTGTCCAAAGGTGGAGAGGGATGTCTTGGCAGGTAGTGAGTTCCCCATCCAGCAGGGGCTAGAAGATCATTTGTCAGGGATGGTATAAAGGGGGTTCTTGTATGGGCACAGGTTGGGTTAGAGGCCCTGAGGTCCCAGACACCATCCGGGAAACTCACTACCCAAAAAGTCTCTGATTCTGAATGACCTTGGCCAAGCTCTTTAGCATTTCTGAGTCTCAGTTATGGCGTCTATAAAAATAGGGTCTTGACCTTTAAAGGCCTTTCCAGCTCTACTTCCTGAAGAGTTATGGACCCCTTCTCAGCCCTGGAGGCTGGAGGAGCGGTAGACTGGGCAGTGATGTCCACACAGTGACAGCCCAGGCAGTGAGAGCAATGGGTCCTCAGTGGGAGCTCTGAAGAGCCCTGGAGAGCGGAGTCCTTCTGAGGCTTTCTGGGACTGTCTCCTGGAGATCTCAGAGAGGTGGGCACTGGCTGGCATGAGGAAGGCCATTAGTAGGCTTCTCTTGACTTTGCAGTTTTTCTCCATACTTGAGAACAATTTTCCCAAGACCGTCAAGTATCTTATTGTTGTCAAAGGTAAGTCAGCAATGGCAGGGGATGGGATAGAATGGGTGAGAGGCAAGAGGGGTCTGGGGTAGATGCAAGGGGGAACCTGCTGGACTTTGCCAAGGTTCACCAAATGATGGGAATTGTCCCCCATTAGAGTTTGGCATCAAAATCCCTAAAAGAATTTATTTTATACTCACCCCCTTCAAGGGAGCCCAAGAACCAGGACCAGCATGGTTGAGTTTCCAAGGGCAGTGGTGGGTGATATGAGTCACTTATACCCCACAGCTGGTGCTGGCTGGTTTTATGCTGGCCAGGGCTGCCCCGACCTTATGCAGTATCATCTGCTCTTTCTGGCTGTAATCTCAAGGTAGCTCTGTCTCTTTCAGCTCCTAAACTGTTTCCTGTAGCCTACAACTTGGTCAAAGCCTTCATTTCAGAGGAGACACGCAAAAAGATTGTGGTTCTGCGAGGTGAGTGAGTCCTGACCCTCCTAGCTTCTCTTCAAGGGAGTGTTATTGAGTGGATGAAGATTGTAAATCAGAGGTCACCATTTAGGTCATTTTTGGCCAGATGAAATAGCGATGGGTCAAGCCAGACTTGGAAAAGTTTAGTAAAGAATTTGGGAAGAATCCTGAACCTGGGTGAATTTGTCTTATGCTGATTTGTGACTCCATCCCCTGAAGTCTGACTTTCATGCCCCCCGCCCCCCCACCCCTGGACTGTAATGATAGAACCCAAGTATTTCCAGATCCCACCAAAGTGTAAAAAATGTAAAGTCTTTAAAAAACTATTTTATTTCATTAAATATTTCTCCATTACATGTAAAAATGTTTTAACATTCTTTTTTAAAATTTTGAGTTCCAAATTCTCTCCCTCCCTCCCCATTCTTTGCCTTGAGAAGGCAAGCTATTTGATATCAATTATATATGTGAAGTCATGCAAAACATATTTCCATGTTAGCCACATTGAAAAAGAAAACACAGGGCAGCTAGGTGGTGTAGTGGATAGAGCACCAGCTCTGGAATCAGGAAGACCTGAGTTCAAATCTGGCCTCAGACACATAACACTTATTAGCTGTGTGACCCTGGGCAAGTCACTTAACCCCTTTGCTAAGCAAAACAAAAAAAGAAAGAAAGAAAAAGAAAACACAGACAACCCCCCCCTCAAGAAATATAAAGAAAGTTCAAAAAATGCTTTTCTCTTTGAAAATGAATAGCATTTTTCATCATGCATCCTTTAGAATTGTCTTGGATCAGTAGCTAAGTCTTTCACAGCTGATCATCATGCAATATTGCTGCATTTTCCTGGTTCTGTTCACCTCGCTTTGCATCAATTCATACAAGTCTTCCCAGGTTTTTCTAAAGCTATTTTTCTAAAGCCACACTCGTCATTTCTTTTTTATTTTTTTGTAAATTTTTTTATTTTAAACTTAAATACAAAATAAGAAAAGAAAAAAAAGGCATTGCCATGTGTACAGCAGATCATGAGAGAGGATTCAAAATATACAGCAACAAATTTCCATTTCAAGAAAGCCTATATAATAAATACTATGCATTGTGTTGAGAGCTGTCCATCTTTTCTTTGCTTCCTTGTTAGTTTGCTGTGCACTTTTTATTTTGTTCTTTTTCTTCCCTTCCTCCCTCCCTCCCCTCCCTGAAGGCACAATTAAACATAGATATATTTATATATAGATGTATAGATACATACACATATATGCATATATACACACATACATACATATAGACATATAAAGACACATATGCACAAAGATATACATATATACATAAACACAATATACCCTTATGTATATGCAGTTACACATACATATACTTAGATACCAATAATTATAATCATATGTAGACATATACATCATACGCATCTATGCAAGACAGTTCTATACTTATTTATCCTGTTTTTCTGAGAGTAGATAACTTCTTCCTTCATAAGTCCAAATCTTTCCATATTTTTCCAAGTCCACCATCTTGTCATTTCCTACACTACCACAATATTCCCATCTCATACTGTCTAGTTGTTTTAAATAGTCCGAAACAACATTGATAAATATGGCTGACACGTAGTGTAGTTTCCCTATTTTTCTCTTTTAATTAAATCTACTTTAGCCTTAACTTTGTCCAAGACCATAAATACCACCCCTGCTCCTTTTTCCCTAACAAATTCTACTCCTGATCTTTATTTTATATTTGTGCCTATCTCTTATTTCCTCTCCCTACTGACTCCTCTATTTTACTTCTACCCACTACCTTGCTCTCCTATTCCTTAACCTACCCCCCCACCACCACCCAGGATCACTCCCTTATCTTCCCATTCCCATAAATGTAAACACCCTTCTATACCTGCTTTGACCTATTCCCTCACCCTCCCCTCTAAAGATCTCTCCCTTATCCTCTCCCCCCTCCCTATCCCTTTAGCGTTTTATTTCTTTCTGAATTTAGAAGAGTTTTATACTCTTCTAGATGTATATGTATTGTTCCCTCTGGAACCCATTCCTAATGAATTTGGTCTCCAGAACTAACAGTCTTCCTCCCCCATCTAATTCCTCTGTGTCAGTTCTAGATAATTACTCTTTTTAGCTGTTCCTAAATGATTTTACTTTTTAAAATCATATCACACTCAGGTTTACCTCTCGTTCTTATGAACTACCCAATTACTGATAACAATCTCAGACGAATTTTTTACATTTTTTTTTATCATTTTACATTTTACATACATAAAAAGTTAACAGTCTCTCCTTATTGAGTCACTTACAGTTTGTCTTTGGTATATACCTTATATTTCTCTTGGCTCCTTGTATGTCAGATCTTCTATTAAGTTCAGGGTTGTTTTTTTTAAACAAAATCCTGGAAGTCTGAGAATTCACTGAAAATCCATGTTTCCCATTCAGAATTATGCTTAGTTTTGCTGTATTTTCAGCCAGAACCCCAGTTCTTTTGCTCCTCGATATGTAGTGTTCCAAGACCTGCAGTCTTTTACTGTCACCCCTGCTAGGTCTTGTGTAATTCTAATTGTGGCACCACTGTATTTAAATTGGTTTTTTTTTTTTTGCATTGCTCATAATATTTTATCCCTGTGCTAAAGGTTTTGGAATTTGACTGTAACATTCCTGTGAGTTTTCCTTGTAGGATCTTTTTCCGGTGGTGATCAGTGGATTTTTTCTATTTCTACTTCCCCCTCTTGTTCTAATGCTTCAGGACAATTTTCTTTAATTATTTCTTGTGTTATTGTATCAAGATTCTTTTTTTTGATCATAGCTTTCAGGTAGTCTGATTATTCTTATGTTTTTTCTTCTCGATCTGTTCTCCAGATCATTTGTTTTTCTTTTGCGATGTTTCACATTCTCTTCTATTTTTCATTACATTTTGTTTTATTATTTCTTCATCTCTTATAACTTTGCTAGCTTCCCCTTGCCCGATTCTGGTTTTCAAGGAGTCATTTTCTTCCTTAAGATTCTGGATCTTCTTTTCTAATTGGTTAAACTTTCTTTTCATAATCTTTTTTTTTTTCTTCAATTGTTCTTTTTTTTTTTTAAAGTTTTTCCTCAATCTTTCTCATTTGATTTTTGAAGTCTTTGTAAAGTTCTTCTATGAATTCTTTTTGGGCAGGTGACCATTTGACATTATTCTTTGGGGATAGAAAAGGGTTTCTTTGCTTCAATATCCTCCTCTGAAGATAAACCCTGGTCTTCTCTATTCCCATAGTAATTCTCTATGCTTGGACTGTTTCTCCTTTGCCTGTTCATTTTTCAAATTTGTAGCAGCTTACTTTTTGTAATCACCTCTAGCCCTGATGTATGGGGGATGGTCCCTCTGGCCTCAAATCCTCCTTCAGTTCTCCCCTCTGGCCTGGAATTGAAACCAAGACCTCTGAAGAGATTTACCTTGTTTACAATTCCCAGAAAAAAAACCTTGAAACTTTTAGATTCCTTATAGGCTCACTTATCTCTCTTTGACATTTTTCCTCCACAGCTTTCCTCCAGGCCCCTAAAAAGAACCTGGCTTCAGCTTTGTTTACCGGTCTCAGAAAACCCTTAAAGTTTTAGAAATTGCCTTATTTCCCTTTGAAAGCAAACTTCCCCTCCCAGCTCCCTTCATTATCTATTCTCATTGTCTGTTCAAATCACTCAGACATTCCAAAAGGAAATTCTCACCTGGACCCTTTTCCAAAGGGTTCACCTCCCCAATCAACTGGTTTTCCCATTGTTTTGCCATTCCCACCCTTAATCCTAGCTAGGCTCCAGTGTTCTGTTTGCCCCAGCTTGCTGGCCACCCCCATCCAGATCTCCTTAGGCCCTGCCTCCCATCACTCCAAACTGTTTGGCCACTCCTTAGACCCCCTCCTCCTGTCACTCCAAGCTGCTTGGCCCCTCCTAGACCCCTCCCCAATCTTTCTGTACTTAAAGACTCATCTTTCCCCCATTCAGCTGCTGACCTGTTCTCAAGCTTAGAAGCTGAGACCCTTCATGCCTGCCTGTCCTCACAGGTGTCGTGTGGCCTATCCACCCCAGCCCTCACTCAGATGCTGAGCTTTCCTCACACCCAAGAGGCTGAGACTGCCTCACACCGCACCTGACCACCTTAACTCCATTTAGATCACTGATGTTTGGGTTCCTTGGGAGTCTGGCCTATATGCTTATCTTTAATCAACTTTTTCTCTGGCTAGAAGAAGATCTGAGTTGAATTCATCCAGGCAGATCCACACCGTGATCTGGGCTTTTCCCCACGATCTTGGGGTGCCTCTGTGCATCTAAGAGCACCCCAAAATCCCCACCCTCTTCACCTCCACCCCCTGTAAGTACCCATAGCCAACAGGACTTGAGGAGGAGAGAAAGACTGAGGCATGGCCTGGACTTATGTAGGAAAGAAGGGGAGTCATCTGCAAATCTGTACATAGCAGCTACCAGGATATTGATTGGGTAGTAGATGTAGATTGAGTGAACCTCAAAGGAGGAGGAGTAAATAAGTGATAAAGGTAGAGGGATACCTTGGAAGTGGCAAAGGGGACCAGGTATTCCAACCTCTCCATCTCAACCAGTGAGTTGGGGCAAATGAGTAAAAGGGTAGATATGGCTAGAAAGAGAGGCTTAGGGGGGCTGTGTCATCAGGAGGGAGCCAGGTGATAGAAGGAGTAAGAAAGGAAGAGATTTAAGATGAAGGCAAGTATGTTGCCTACATACCAGGAATTCCAGAAGGCACAGTGGAAAGAGAAACCTCTCTGGTCCTCAGTTTCCTTATCTGCAAAATGAGGAGGTTGGACCAGATGGTTTCTAAAGTCTGTGATGGTTGTAGTTCTATGATCTCATGAAAAAGAAATAGTTTTCTTGCCTGGGATATTATTTCTACATATTTATTTTTTAGTCAGTCAATAAGTATTTATTAAGTGCCAACTATGTACCAGGCACTGTGCTAAGTACTGGGGGTAAGAAGAAAAGCAAAAAGACAGTCCCTGCCCTCCAGAAGCTCATGGTCTAATAGGGGAGAAAACCTGGAAACAGCTATGGACAAAAAAAGTGATATTGAAGATAACTAGGAAATAATCCCCAGAAGAAAGGCACTAGGGGAAGAGAGATCAGGAAAGACTTCCTGCAGAAGGTGGGATTTAAGTTGGGACTTGAAGGAAGCCAGGGACATCCAGAAGTGGAGATGAGGAGGGAGAGAATTCCAGGCACTGGTGCCAACTCTAAAGCCCAGAGATGGCAGATGGAGGGGCTTGTGCAAGGAACAGCAAGGATTCTAGCGTCACCAGATAGAAGAATGTGTGGGAATAAGGTGTAAGAAGACTGAAAGAGTCAGGGGGAGGGGAAAGAAGATTAGGTTATTAAGGGCTTTGAATGTCAGACAGATGATTTTGTCCAGACGTGAGAGGCAGGACCAAGATGGTGGAGTAGCAGGAAATGCCACAAAACTTCTCCAAACAGACCTAGAAATGCAATAGACCAAATCCTACTGGAGGAATCCAGAAAAAGTCACAGTAAATTAAGCGCCACTCAGAATAGGGAGATGGACAAGGAGATCAGTGGACACTGGGCACTGGATTGTCCACTCCATCTTTCTGGCAAAGACCATGTACCAGAGCCAGGTGAGGGCTCAGACCCACACAGGACATTTGATGGGGAAAGGTGCCAATGGGCAGCCTTGTTGCCCACTACCTGGTTCTGGACCACAGATCTAAGGCTGACAGTGACAGGGACCTATGCACAAGACTAGTGGACCTGCTTAGGGAGGCCCTGTGTTGTGTACAGGGAAAGGAGGAAGTTCAGAAGCAAGCAGCACCCCAGGATCAGAGCAGGACCTCCATTTCAGCATGGAGCCCAGTCTGCAGAGGAATAACCATGAAAGGAAATGACAAACCACTGCAGTGTCTTTGGCAAGGAAAGCCCCAACGGGGTCAAGAAGACTTGGACACTGAATGAAAAACAAAACATCATCACATAGTTAGAATCTCCCTTAGAGGGTAGAATCTCTACCCTCCAGGGATCATCACACCAACATCACTTAACCAACTAAATTCAATTAGCTTTTACAAAGAGCCATTTACGGAGAGGCTCTAGCAAGAACCCAAGAACCCACATTCCCCCAGCACCTGGAGGCATGTTGTCCCCAATGGAGCTCAGTCATACGTAGGGAGAACATGCAAGGTCTTAAGGACTGGGCTCATTGTCCAAATCTCTTCTTGGAATCTCTTCCTCCTCTCACTCTAGAATCTTCTTTTTCTCCCATCAGCAAACTGGAAGGAGGATTTGTAGAAATTAATTAGCCCTGACCAGTTGCCTGCAGAATATGGGGGGACCCTAACAGACCCTGATGGGAACCCCAAATACCTGACCAAGGTAAGAAACCCCCAGGGGCCAGGAGTGGAGCAGGAGCTGAGGGCAGATCCATCAGCCCAAAGGTCATCACGTTCTCTTCTGGCAGATTAAATATGGGGGCGTGGTCCCCAAGAAATACTACCTACAGAACCAGATGAAAATGCAGTATGAGCATACAGTGTCTGTCAATCGGGGCTCCTCCCACCAGGTGGAGACTGAGATCCTCTTCCCAGGCTGTGTCTTGAGGTAGGGGTCTGTCTAGTCTCCCCTTCCCCAGAAGGGAGCTGTGGGGGTGTGTCAGCAGGAGCGTGGGGCACAGGATCCTAGCGAGGGCAGAGCACGTGGCAAGAGGAACCAACGTCTCTCCTTCTGCAGATGGCAGTTCATGTTGGATGGGTCGGACATTGGCGTGGGGATTTATCTGAAGACAAAGACGGGGGAGCAACAGAGGGCAAAGGAGATGATTGAGGTGCTGCCCACCCAGAAGTACAACTGTCACCTGGTCCCTGAGGATGGCACTCTCACCTGCACAGAACCTGGTGTCTGTGAGTGACATATTTGAAAGATCATGGAAAATGGGAGCAATCTCATGAGGAAAGGGGGAGGGCAAATGTGCTGATTTGGAAGGGAAGCAGAAAGTCTACAAACCAAAAGCAATGAGCTTGGCTTCAATTCCTGGAAGAAGTCAGGAAAAATCATTAAAGATATGGTTGGAGAATATCCAGAAAGGGAGATGAGGATTACAAAGAGCCAGCCTGGCTTCATGGAGAACAAGTTACCCTAGCTGAACCAACCTCACTGCCCTTTTGGACAAGATTACTAAAACAGTCTGTCAATCCATCAACATTTATTAAGCACCTACTGTGAACCAGGCCCTGTGCTAAGCACTGGAGATACAAAGAAAGGCCAAAGATAGTCCTTGCCCTCAGGGAGCTCACAATCTAAGGTGTACAAACAAGCTATAGACAGAATAAATTGGAGATAATCAATAGGAGGGAAATAAGATTAAGGGGATAGGGCAAAGGCTTCTTGTGGAAGGTGGGACTTTAGCTAAGGCTTGGAAGCCAGTCCAGCCAGGAGGGGGATGTGAGGAGGGAGTGCATTCCAGACATAAGAAGCAGCCAGAGAGAATGCCAAGGGTGGAGAGAGAGGGAGTGTTTTGTTTGTGGAACAACCAGGAGGCCAGTGTTAATTAGATGGAAAAGGATGTGGGAGGAGGTAAGGGGTAAGAAGACTGGAAAGACAGGAGGGGGCTAGGTTGTGAAGGGTTTTGAATGTCAGAGGGTTTTTATTTTGATCCTAGAATAGGGATACCATTGGAGTTGATGGGGGGGTTTGTATGGGATAACATGATCAGACCAACACTTCAGGAAATTTATTTTGGCAGCTAAATAGACTGGACTGGAACAGGAAGAGACGATGTAGGGAGACCAACTGGTAGGCTATTACAATGGTCTAGGTGTAAGGTGATGAGGATGGTGCACCAGAGTGATAGCAGCATCCGAAGAGAGGAGGGGGCATATTTGAGAGATGTTGCAAAGGTGAAATCAACTTGGTAACAGGTTAGATGGGGGGAGGGGGAGGGGGAGACCTATAGTGAGAAGTCCAGAAAGACTCCTAGACTGTGGACCTGAGGGACTGGAGGATGGTGTTGCCTTCTACAGTAATAAAGGAAAATGTGTGTGTGTGTGTGTGTGTGTGTGTGTGTGTAGGTTGGAGTGGGGGGACTTAGGGGAAAAGATAATGAGTTCAGTTTGGGACATGCTGAGTTTGAGACATCTATGAGACATCCAGCTGGAGATCCTGGAAAGGTAGTTGATGATGTGATGTGATGCTGGAGGGCAGGAAAGAGGCTAGGGCTGGATATTTAGATGAGGGAATCATCTGCATAGAGATGACAATGGAGCCCATGGATCGCTAAGAGAAGAGGGACAGGAAAGGACCCTGTGGGACACCTGCAGTTAGAGGATGTGATCTGGATGAGAATTCAGCCAAGGAGACCGAGAAGGGGCGGTCAGAGAGGGAGGAGGACAACCAGGGGAGGGGACAGGGTCCTGAAATCCTAGAGAGAAGAGAGAATTGAGGAGAAATGGGTGATCAGGAATGCCAAAGGCTGCAGAGAGGATGAGGAAAATGAGGATTGAGACAAGGCCATTGGATTTGGCAACTAAGAGGTCACTGGCAGCTTGGAAGAGAGCAGATGTGACTGAGCTATGAGGTCAGAAGCCAGACCCTAGAGAGTTAAAAAGAGGATGGGAAGAGAGGAGAGGAATGCTGTGGATGTGGTTTACCTCAGTTTCACTAATGCTAATAAAAAATCTCACCATATTCTAGCAAATGGAGGCATGGAGGCTAAAGGGGGGGTGTGTCCAGAATTAGCTGGATGACTGAACCCAAGGAGTGGTTGTTAATGATGCCTCCTGAGCATGGAAGGGGATCTCCAGTGGAGGGATATGGGCTTGGTAGTGTAGTCAGTATTTTTTTTTTATCATTGACCTAGATAAAGTCATCAGTTTTGCAAATGACTTGAAACAAGGAAGGATAGCTAATCCACAGAGATAGAATGCAAGATTCTTGAGAGGCTAGAACAGAGGTGGGGAACCTGTGGATTTCTTCTGTGAAGTTTGGGTTCAGTCAAAGGGCCACACTTGAGGTCCTAGAGGGCCACATGTGGCCTGGAGGCCACAAGTTCCCCAGCCCTGGGCTAGAACATTGGTCTGAATCTAATAAGAGCCAAGTCAACAGGAATAAATACAAAGTTTACACCTGGACACAAAGTACCAGCTTCACAAATACAAACTGGGAAAGGCCTGGATTCATAAAGGCTGTTTTGAAAAGGATCTAGGGGTTTCAGTGGACTGCAAGCTTGCTAGGAATCAGCAGAGTGTTATGGCAGCCAAAAATCCTCATGCCACCTTGGGCTGCATTAAGGAGAGAGAGCCTAAAGGAACAAAGAGGCCACAGTCCCACCCTTTTTTGCCTTTGTCATGCTTCATCTAAATTACAGGGTTGAGTCCTGGGCACCACAGTTTAAGATGGACAGTGATCATCTGGAGAGTGCCCAGAGGAGGCAGCAGGAAGAGCCAGGGCTCTCTATGCCCCAGAAGATCAGTTGAAGGACTGGGCATGATCAGGCAGGAGGAGAGATCAGGAGTGGGGGTGGGGAGCAGGACAGCTGTTCTAGTACTTAGGGGGCTGTCCCGTGGGAGATGGTTTGTTCTGAGTGGCCCCAGGAAGCAAAGCCAGGAGCAAGGAGACGAAGGTGCAGAGAGCCTAGTTCTAGCCTGGAGCCAGGACGAACTTCCTCCTGATGAGAACTGCCCCAAGTGGAATGGGCACCCACGGGATGGGGTGGGTCCCCCCTCACTAGGGGGTCTTCAGGCTGAGGTTCCATAGTTGTTTGTTGGATATGTCATGGGGGGATCCTTTTGTGTGTGAGTTGGACTAGGTGGGCCTGGGGTCTCTCCTGTGACTCTGTGGTTTGTCCCTACCTTGTTCTGGTGTGAGGAAGTGCCCCCCAGGCTAGGGGAAGGCCAGATTTCACCTGGGGCTCTGCCCTGGGGCCATCTCTGCTGCTGTTTTCTCTCCCATCTCCACTTTCCTTGAGTACTCCTTCCCCCTGCCTCAAGTTTTTGGTTTTTTTTGTTTGTTTGTTTTTTGCTTTTTTTTTTAGTGAGGCCATCGGGGTTAAGTGACTTGCCCAGGGTCACACAGCTAGTAAGTGTCTTGTGTCTGAGGCTGGATTTGAACTCAGGTCCTCCTGACTCCAAGGCCAGTATCACAATATCCACTGTGCTACCTAGCTGCCCCTCAGCCTCAAGTTTTAATGTGGAGTTACCTTTTATGTCTTCTGTGTCCACCAATCCACACTTGGTCTCCATTTAAATATTCTCCTTCCCTTCTCTTTAGTGTCCCCCACCCCGGGCAGAGATTTCTGGCTCCTGGGGGTACCTGTGTTGGGCCTTGTAGGAAGAGAGAGACTTTACCATATGAACATGAGTGGTGGTGGGGATTTCTAGCTCATTCCAGGTATGGAGGTCAGTATGAACAAAGGCACAGACGGGGAGGAGGGCTCAGATAAGAGCAAGGACTAGTGTCTAGTCTTATTTGGTTGGGACATGGGTGTAGTGACCCCTCTGGGCTATCTCCCCTCCCACCACATTGTACTTGCAATCTGGGTCACCCAAATGATGACCAACCCAGATTGAAGGTACTATGTAGGTTCATATTACTAAAACTAACTCATGAGCCCCCACTGGTGTGTATTTCCCTTTAATAGTCAGCTAGTTGACCAAATTAGCTCAAAGCAAAGACATTTATTGAAGTGGCATGGCATGAATAGTGGTTATAAAGCATTCCCCCCATAAACCTAAGATGCCCTCTCCCACAAATACACATAGTATCAAAAAAAAAAAAGTAATCACATCTATAATGTATTCTAGTAGAGAGGCACACACAGAGGAAATGCATGTGGTCAAGGAAACTCACACTACCAGCCCTGAAGAACTCCAAATGTCTTTAGGTTCCTTATCTTTTCTTCCTGATACTCTGTACTTGATACTCTTTGTATTCTGAAGCTATATGCTCTGGGCCTGTTTCCTCTTGGGGATGGCATCTCTCTCTCTCTCTCTCTCTCTCTCTCTCTTTTTTTTTTCAGGCAATTGGGGTTAAGTGACTTGCCCAGGATCACACAGCTAGCAAGTGTCAAGTGTTTGGTCTGAGGCCAGATTTGAACTCAGGTCCTCCTGATTTCAGGGCCAGTGCTCTACCCACTGTGCCACCTAGTTGACATCTCTTAAAGGGAGAGTCTAGCAGGTAGTGGGTGCTGTGGATAGAGGAGTGAGAAACACATGAGTTCAAATCCAGCCTTAAACACTTCCTAGTTGTGTGACCTTCAGCAAGTCACTTCAGCTCTATTTGCCTTAGTAGATTATAATAGTGCTTAGGTCCCAGAGTTGTTTCAAAGATTAAATGAAATATTTTTTACATGCCTGGCATACAGCAGATGCTTAATAAATGCTTGGGTTTGTTTGTTTGTTCGTATTTTTATTTGCTGTACTGTGAGACCTTATTACTAATGGGCCTGGGGGTGGAAGAGAAAAAATTTTCACTGGTGTATTCTGAAAAATAGGCTATGGAAAAAGGAGAGAGAAGCAGAAACCTTCCTCTGTAACTATCTTTCTTTGCATCTGCCAGAGATAACTTCCTCAGAGCTCATTTGTACCTTTTAAGGCCACATCAGAGGTATGGCTGACCTTTCAGTCATCTAATGGCTAGCCACCCTATAACTCAGTCAACTTGATGCAGGACAAGTAGAAACACTTTTCTGCATTGACTCATTCAAGTCTGTAAGGAGAAAACCCTTTACAAAGTACTAATGGGCCACCATCAGCTTCACACCCTCTAAAGTCAGTGAATAGATCCCTATACTCATGGGTCATGAGCCACTCAAGGTTGTAGGCAATTTGAAAGCTGTGAATGGGACACTCAGCATGTGAAAGAGGCAAAATCTTTGCACCTCATCGTCTCTATTATCTGCCCCTTTCATCCTGTAATTTCCTCAAATGGCTTTGGAGAACCTCAAATGGTGAGGGGTCCCCTGATCAACCCCTTCTCCATAAAATGCTTCAAGGGGAGTACTAAGAAACAAAGCTTGGCAGGCAGGTTGAAGGCCTGTCCTTCCATGCTAGTTAGGAGCTTAGGCCTAATTCAGTAGACAGCGGGGAGCTACAGAAGATATACCTCTCTGTATGTCTGTCTGTGCCTTGCAGATGTCCTGAGGTTTGACAACACCTACAGTTTGGTCCACCCCAAGAAGGTCAGCTACACAGTGGAAGTTTTACTCCCTGACAAAGCCTTTGAAGAGAAGATCCAGAAACTGTAGGCAAGTCTGACCATGGCCACCATTATACCCCTTCCAACCCTCTGCCCACTGTTTGGTTCTTACTTCTCATTGACTCCACTCTGGATCCCTTTTGTCCTCTGGCTGGCTTTCTCCACCCAGGAGAAGTGCCATGGGGTCTGCCTTGGACCAAGACACTGTGTGGGGGTGGGGAGCTGCCAAAAAGTGAGATTCCTCAAGTTAATTACTCAATATGGCTTAGTGAATGTACACAATGAACAACTGAATGAATGAAAAATCATTTATTTAGTACCTACTGTGTGCCAGCCACTGTGTTAGATACAGGGACAGAAATATAAAAGCAAAATAATTCTTGCCTTCAAGAAGCTCACATTCTATCCTGGGAGATAATTGAATAGGGGAGCAGTGTCCAGAAAAGGGATTTCTTTGTTTGAGGAGTCACAGGGATGGTGAGGGGAGCCATAAGGAAGTGGATTGTCACAATGTTTCCATAGATAATGGATTGACTTGCTTATTACTTCCAGGGCAAAATGGAGAAACTGGAGGAATAGGAATGATGATACCAAGGTGCCTCAAGATATCCAAGAAGGTTGGAACTGGGTTCAAATTCTTCTGACACTTGCTTGTTATGTGACCCTGGACAAGCCACTTTACTGCTCTGATCCTCAGTTTCTTCATCTGTAACATGGGGATAAAAATACCTGTAATACCTATTTCACAGGGTTTGTAGTAAGGCTCAAATGAGAGAATATATACGTAGCACAATTTGGAAATTTGTTACTTTTTATTTTAAAAATAATTTGAACTGATATTTTTCGTTTTTGCCTTTTTAAAAGTTCTTGTATTATTCTTTCCCCCTTCCAGAAAACCATCTTATTTAACAAATAATATTTGTTTAAGGAATTTTTTTTCACTTAGCTTTTGTATTTCCTTTTCCTTTTGGCCAAATCTAATTTTTAAGGTATTCTTCTCTTCAGTGAATTTTTGTAATTTTTTTTTCCATTTGGCCAATTCTGCTTTTTAAGGAGTTCTTCTCTTCAGTGGATTTTTGTGCCTCTTTTACTATTTGGCCTATTCTGTTTTTAAAGGTACTATTTTCTTCAATATTTTTCGTGCCTCCTTTACTGAGCTGTTTTTTTCATAATTTTCTTATAGCACCACTTTCATTTCTTTCCTCAATTTTTCTTTACTTCTCTTATTTGATTTTTCAAATACTTTTTGAGCTCTTCCAGGAATTCTTTTTGGGTCTGAGACCAATTCACATTTTTTTTTTTTTTTGAGGTTTTGACTTTGTTGTCTTCAGAGTTTGTTTCATCTTCCCTGTCACCATAGTAACTTTTCGTGGTGGTTATATTCTTTTGTTGTTGTTGTTGTTGTTTGCTCATTTTCCAGCATATTTCTTGCCATTTAACTTTATGTTAAAGTTGGGATCTGCTCTTGGGATGGAAGGGGCACTGTTCTAAACTTTAGACTTTTTGGTAGCTGTTTTCAGAGCTAGTTCCCGGGGTCTGTAAGTTTTCAGTTCTTCCAAGGTGGTATGATCTACGAAGCGGTGCGGTCACTGTTCATATTGCCTGCGCTCTAGTCTGTGAGTGACCATGAACATTCTTTTCTGCCCTGGAGCTGTGACCAGGGTCCCCACCCCCTATGACCACAAGGTCTGGTGTGTTGCTGCTCATCCTCATCCTGGGGCTGTGACCCAGGACTGCAACCTGCACATAGCCCTGCCCCCAGGGCCAGCAAAGGGTCCCCTGTAATCCCCTTCTGACCAGTTGTCTGACCCCCTTACTATCTGTGAGCGGAGAGCTCCAGAAGCTGCCATTGCCAATTCAATTGCCCCGGAGGCTTGCCGCTGTCTGAAAGGGGTATTGTCTATACTGGACTGTCCGCTCTTATCCTGGTTTGACAGATCTTACGTGCTGACCTCCTAGGTTGTCTTGGGCTGAAAAAATTGTTTCACCTCATCCTTTTGTGGGTTCTGCCACTCCAGAATTCATTTTGAGGCATTATTTTAAAATTGTTTGGAGGGGAATTTGGGAGAGCTCAGACAAGTCTTTGTCTCTTCTCTGTCATCTTGGCTCCTTCCGCAACCAATAATATTTTTAAAGAAGAAAGAAAAAAAAAGAGTAAGAAGAGGAAAAACCCCAGAAAAATTGATTGCCATATTGAAGAAGTCGGCAAATATCTTCAGTGTTCCCCACCTGTGCACAAGGATATACAGGAACCAACTCTCACCAGCCTGCAAGAGTGGCTTATAAGTTTTCAGGGTGATCATTTACATCACAGAAATCAGTAATCGCTACCAATCAGGGTCTGATTTATACTTTTGTTGATTGTCTGGGCTTAAGAACATGTTAATGATGCAGATTAAATTTATATGTGCATTTTTATTCCGAACCTGGTTGTTAAATCTACATCAGTACACCCCTATATTCTGTAAATAGTGTTTGAGCTCAGCAGAAGGAGAGTGGAAGATTCAGGGAATGACAATAACAATCATGTTTGCAAAGCACTGTATATCTATCATTAGCTCATTTGAGCCTCATGACATCCCTGCCTATGGACCTCCCACGTCTGCAAAGGAGGGGAGATGTTTTCTCCTATCTGGAGCACTGGGGCAATGCTTGTTCCTTGTAATTTGGCAGCATGCACTTCTGATTGTTTGGTGGTTATTGCTGTTCTCACTGGCTGCTGCCCACAGTGCCATGCTTCTCCTCAGCGGGCTTTTTCTATTACCTTTGGTCCAAATTTCTCTCACCATGAAAGTTTTAACTTTGTTCTCTAACTCCTCATTGGCAATATAGGGTTTTTGTTTGTTTTGCTTTAAATAGTATTTTAATTTTTCCCACAACTACAAATCACGGAAATTTTTAGCATTCATTTTTACAAGATTTTGAATTCCAAATTTTTCTCCTCTCCCTCCCCTCCCCTCTTCTGAAAACAGTAGATAGTTTGATATGGTTTATACATATGCTATCATGGAAAACATATTTCTATATTTATCATGGTTGTGGAAGAAGAAACAGATCAAAAGTAAAGAAAAAAAACATGAGAGAGAATAAAGTAAGTAAAAAAAAAATACGCTTAGATCTGCATTCAGAGTCCATTAGTTCTTTATCTGGATATAGATAGCATCTTGCTTTGTGAGTCCTTTGTACTTGTCTTGGATCATCGTATTGCTGAGAAAAGCTGAGGCATTCATAGCTGATCATCACATGATGTTGCTGTTACTATGTACAATGTTTTCCTGGTTCTGCTCATTTCACTTTGCATCAGTTCATATAAATCTTTCCAGGTTTTCCTTTACTCTGTGTGTTTCTGTGCTTCAAGTGTGTTTCCTGTAAGCAACATATTGTAAGATATACTATAGGGGTTTAATAACTAGTTTCCAAGTGACATTCTGGGTACTTATGTCCTTGGAGATTTTGGGACACTCCATGGTTTCTGGTAGGTCACCTAGTAACCTGATCAGTCTTCCTTCCTGTATCCCTTAGCTAGTTTTTGACATTCTCCGATATATCCAAACGATAGTATAAATTCCTGTCTGTATCAGAATCATGAGCATCAATTCTGCTGCTAATGGCCATCCTTCCAACAGCCAAAGAGCCACGTGATTGCTCAACCCTGCACATAATCAAACAGTGTCCAATTGAACTATTGTTCAATAGTGTTGCTTGAGCACAAATGAGCCTATAGAATATCTCAAAACCATTTAAAGAAATGTAATCTGACTTTTTTTAAAATAATTTTTTTCAGTTCACAAAAATTGATTTCCTCTCCTCTTTCCCCTTCATCCCTAATCTCACTAGAATAGAAAAAAAAAAAACAACAAAACTCTTGTAACAAATCACGAAGCAAAACAAATTTGCCCTTGGGCCATGCTCATTGTCAAATTGATTGAATCAGTTTGTTGGAGAAGGAAATTGAGTTTGCTCTGGAAAACCACTGTTAAATTATAGTCTAGACACTAAGGATGAATTTTTTTTTTAATCTTGCATATATTCTGTTAGTGTGGTGCACATGCTGATGAATAATTTTTGCTAAATCTTTTCTTAGAAAGATGTAATCAAAATATAGTTTGAAATATCAGCATAGCATAGACACTCCCAAAAGTTTTCAATGGATCTGTGCAAGACCAGAGCAGGTAGCTTTAACTTGATTCATTGTCTTGAAATATATACGGGCCGCACGCCGACCTTCTGCCTGTCGTGCGCCAGTACCCACTTCTCCTAAGAGAAGAGCACCGCCAGAGTCTTACCCATTCCCAGGTCTTCGGTCCTCAGCCGGATCACCACACAGAGACAAGCCATCAGGAGGCACCAACACCAGAGTTTTATTCAGAGGCCAACACATCAAACCATCATAGCAAGCCCAAGCAGCAAGGCCAGAGCAACAGGCAGGAGCCAGGGGAGCGCGCACGTGTGTTCTGACCATGCTTGTTCCTAAGTACCTACTTAGCCCCTCCTCCCCAGCCCGCTACTAGCCAATGATTGTAGGGTCAGATACCGGAAGGGGCTGTCTGAGTTTAGCACACCAAGGGGGAGGGAGTGACGTAGGAGGCCAGGATTGGATACAGGAAGGAGGCATCTGGGATTGACGCATAGACAAGAGTACGTGACCTAGGAAGTCAGACTCAGGAGGGGACTGGGTCAGTGCTGCACAAGGTCAGGAAGGTCACAAGAGGCATCTGGGGATGACGTTGCATATAGGGAGGGGACTAAGCAGAGGGAACTCAGTCCTCTGCCATCCCACTCCCACGTGGCACCGCCCCTTGCCTCAGGAGTTCAGGCTCGGCTACTTCCTTGCACCCAGCTTATCTCATAGCACTGCCCAATTGCCTCATGGCTTCTCCGAATCCAGCCCATCCCAGTACACACGACTCTGCCTACCACAGTCCCTGCCTCGACTTCCAAAATACCCAGATCTTACCTTACCCATGCCACAGCACCCAACTGGCAGCTGCCAACATCAGACAGTCCCTCACAGAAATATCCTTGCCTCAGTTTCTCATCTGTAAAATGAGCCGGAGAAAGAAATGGCAAACCATTCCAGTACGCTTGCCAAGATAACCCTAAATGGGGTCATGAGGAGTCATGCCTGAAACAACACAACAAAAAACCCTGTAAAAATCCCAAATAGGATAAGTGAGAGGAATAAGCATTTATTAAACATCTTCTATGTACCAGACATTGTGCTAAGCACTTTAGAAACACTATCTCATTTGATTCTCACAACAACCCTGGGAGGTAGGTGCTGTTACTGTCTTCATTTTATAGTTAGGGAAACTGAAATAATTAGAGGTTAAGTGACTTGCCTAGGGTCACACAGCTAGGAAGCGTCAAGAGGTTGAATAGAACTCAGGTCTTCGTGACACTAGGTCCAGTGTTCTATCTACTATGCCACCCCAAACCCTAGCTCTAGAACCCTTTGCTAATTTTAAAACACACAGAGTGTAGAAGTATTTTGTGTCATTGTTTACAAATAATGAGACCATAGGCCCCCCAGTACCATGCTCTCCACTCAGGAGATTGTATAAGCCACCAATCTGACAACAGTCATTTCAAAGAAGCAGAGAATGTTAGATCTCAGCAGCCATCTACTCCAACCATAACTGAAAAGGATCCCCCACTATAACATGTTTGACAACTGGTGATCCAGCTTTTGATTGCAAAGCTGAGAAGGGCAGAAACCACTACCTCCCAAGGTCAACCATCCCACTTATACATAGCTCTAATGGTCAGAAAGTTTTCCCTCAATTTACCTCTTTGCAACTCCCACATATTGCTTCTGGTTCTACTCTCTGGCCAAAGGGAACATAAAGGGATCTCATATGACAGTCCTCCAAATACTTCACGGCCATGATTAAGATCTCTCCTCCCCGCCACCCCCCCCCCCCCGCTCCCGCCAAGTCTTCTCCTATTTGGGCTAACCATCACCAGTTGCTTCACCCCCTTTCCATATGACATGGACTTAAGGCCCTTTTCCCTCCTGGTTGCCCTCCATCTTATCACTTCCTACCCAGAAAGTGAATGTAAGACTCTAGGTGTTAGAAGGACCATGGCAGGACATGGAGGACAATTACTTTCCTTCTCTTTGGGGCTCTGCCCTTCTTTATTCAGGCCAAGAAAGTATCAGATTTTTTGGCTGCCCTTTCACATTACTGGCTCATTTTAGGTTTACAGTTCACTCAGACTCCCAGACCTTTCCCCAAACAACCTAATGTCTAATCATGGCCCCTCATTCTTGTCCTTATGTTGACGATCTTCTGAACCAAATGTAAGACTTCACATTGATCACCATTGAAATTCATCTTCTGCCTTTCAGCCCGAAGCTCTAGTCTGGTCTGTCATGATCTTTTTGGCTCCTGACTCTGTCATTATCCAATATGTTAGCTATGTCTCCTGGTGTTCTTCCAGCTGCAATCTCATGGTGAAATCTCATCAAATTAATTTAGACACAAAAGCAATGAAAATAACAGGGTTAAGATGACCTAACATTAGAGCCATTCTTAGGCCCTATATGCAAATGGGTGAATCCCCTTACAAACTCTAAGGTGATTATAATATAACTCTTAATCACCCAAAATTTGAGGGAGAGTCACTTCCAAACTCATGACTCAGGAGTAAAAATCTTAGAGTTCAAGTTCACTTCCTGAAAGCTACTGACTTGGTAGTTCCCAATGCCACCTCAATGAGAGGGCTATGAGTGGGGCCTTGCCCATCTCTGAGTCTCTGCCTCACAGACAAGCTTCTCAGGGCAGTCTTGAGGTCTATAAAGTCACTTGAGGGAGGCTGGGGATCTAAGGAAACCTCTTACTTTTGCTCTGGGGTCATCAGTGGTCTGCTGGTACCGTTGTCTTTCCCAGGCCTGGGTTAGCCTCCTCATATCCACCCAGGACCACCTCTTGTAGCCCCACTTTTTAAATGTCCTGACTCTCAGAAGACAACCCATTCAAGTCTTCACTTAGAAATGTCCATCCTCAGTGTCCAAACATGGAGCATCCTGGGAAATGAAGTCCAGAGAATTTAGCCCAATAATTTGGGCCAATACATCGTAAGGAATGATCTCTTGGGAAGCCTCCTCGATCTCACTTTCTACACATATAAAATAGAAGGAATAAATTATTTTATTTCAGAGGCTGCTCCATAAAAGGAGAATGTCCCTTAAAATTTTTTGAAAATGTATGTAATTATTCAAATGCTGCTCTTGACTGAAGGCATCTCATATCTGGTCTACCATTTGTAAGCTCACCCAATGGACTGTGAGGTAATGCTCAGATCTTGGCCCATTTTCTTGTATGTCTTGCCCAGAGTTAGGGTAAGGGTGGATAGATACTGGCCTGGCTTGGAAGGTAGAGGTCGGACTTTATTACTTTGTCTACTTCCCTGAGTGTTTAGCCCAAAGGTTCACCCACTCTGCCCTGAGTAAAACATACCATTTGTGCATGTTTTTTGAGCCAGGAATGACAGAGAGAACTGGTCAGGGTCAGGTATCTATCAAATCTGCAGAAATTTCCTGATGTACCACCATAATTTGGTGACCCATAAGTTGACCCCAAGTTCAGTCATGTACTGGATTTCGGGGGTCACCATCTTCCGGCACAACTGGCTGTACTGATGACTGATATGCTTCTTTAGGTTGTAACCAAGGATTGTCTTTGCCCCCATTGCCTGCCAGGGCTGCAGTGATGGTTTCTCAATGTCCTTGGCATCCACTGCATGCTCACCATCAATGCAGATCCTTTCCATTCGCTCGTTCTCCCGCCGCAGCGAGGCCACCTCGCGGGCCATGCGCTCCCGCCCGAAGGCCTCCACCTTGTGCCAGAAGCTGGCGTTGAAGTGGCGGTAGAGCAGCGCGTCCAGCTGGTTCCAGGCGGTGGCCCGCCGGTAGAGCTCGCCCGTCAGCCGCGGGACGGTGGAGGCCCGGCGGGCGTTGAGCTTGAAGTAGACGATGTCCTCGAGCTCCCAGCACAGCAGCTCCTTGAGCAGCACCAGCGACTCGTCGAAGTACTCCTGCAGCATGACCAGGTGGAACCTCTGCTCCACCTCCAGGATGTGCGCCTCCACCTGGGGGCTGCGGGGGTCCAGCCCGCTGTCGTAGCCCAGGTCAAAGAAGAGCAGGTTGCGGAGGTAGTGGGCGTTGAAGCCTTTGGGGTCATAATAGTGGTCGGGGTCCTGCAGGAACTTGGCCAGCTTGTCGGGGCCCGTGAGCCTCCACGTGAAAGGCACCACCATGCCGAAGTAGTGGAAGGACGACTCGAAGAGATGAGCTGGATCCCGCAGCACTGTGATGAAGGTAGCATTGGGGGTCACCAGGCTATGCACTTCAGAGTAGGAGAAACGCATGTGGTTGCAAATGATATTGAAGCAGTCGCCAGGCTGGTAGTTGTGCACCAGGCTGCGCTTGAAGAAGGAGGGGTAGTTGAAGTCATTGTATCCACTGGGGAAAGCGAACTTGAGGTTGTACTTCTGGCCAAAGCGGAGGAGGATATTTAGCAGGGTGCTGCTGGCAGTCTTATGAGTCTTCATGAACACAACATCTAACTTTGGCCAGCAAGAGCCTTTGGGGATGTTGGCAGGTGAGGTGGGTGGAGAGGAACATCGGGTTGGCTCTGGGGCCCTGTTGGGAAAGAAAATGGTGAGAACTTTGGTGAGAAAGCTATAATCATTTTTTTTCTCATCATGTGTGACCTTGGATAAGTCCCTTCTCCTCTCTATGTCTCAGCTTCCTCATCTATAAAGTAAGAGCCAACCAAGAGATATTATTTGCAATGAGAAAACACTAGAAACCTTTCCAATAAGATTAGGGGTAAAACAAAGATATCCATGGTCACCATTATTATTAAATATGGTTTTAGAAATGCTACCTCATAAGATAAGACAAAAAACTCAAAGAAATAAGAATAGGCAAACTTATCTCCAATCACAGATGATATGATAGTTTACTTTAAGGACTATAGAGATTCAACAGTCAAATGCTACAATAAGCTCCACATAGAGAGCTATGCTATAAATAGAGATGCACACATCCTCAAAATGTTGGAAGAGAACAGAATGGAGCTGCTTACACACCTGTGGCCGAGGGGAGAATTATTAACTGAACAAAAGGTAGAAATGATCATGTAAGAGAAAAGTCAAGTTGGATTATGTAACATTGAAAAGTTTTTGTAAAACTGTTATCAGTACAACTAGAATTAGATGAGAAGCAGTTAAATGGGAAAACTTCTTTGCAGCAAACATCTCTATTAAAAGTCTTACATACAGGATATATTTATCTGTATATTTACATCTGTATCTACATCTATCTGTCCATCTACATAAATAGACACATGCACACATGCACTCACTCATACACTCACACACACCTGCACACACACACGTACACATATGCACACACACACACAAGTACATACACGTGCATACCCATGCACACACACATACACACACATACGCACACACACACACCTGAATATATAAGAACAAGAATCATTCCAGAATAGATAAGTGGTCAAATCATATGAACAGATGACTTTGAGTCAAAAAATGTTAAACTTTAAACCACCAAATGGAAGAGTGCTCCAAATCAATATTAATATGAACAATGCAAAGTAAGAGAATTCTGACATTTAACCTCACAATAAACAGATTGAGTAAGATGATAGAAGACAAAAATGGTGCAGCAGAGGTATGGAACCTGGCTAACAGATTGGGATTTGTTAGTTCAGAGGGATAAGCATTACCTTTAAACCTGTAGAACAATTTGGATCTATTATAATCTCTGAGCAGGAAAGCAGATTCAAATCAGGCCAGGGAGTTCTTAAAGGGACACACACACACACACACAGCCTGGAGACATGGACTGAAAGGAAGGAGTGAAGACTGATAGAGTCAAACAGTAGCAGCAAAGGGCTGGGGGAGGAGGGAGACAGTGTCCCCAGACCTACCTGGAGCTTAACAAGCTGTATCCCAATTTTTGCTTCAAACAAGAAGAGGTCAAGGGTGACCTGGAGTTTTAAAATATTTAATTTAGGTCAGAGAGCCAAACTTCTGTCTGAATGGTAGGAATTTTCTTATCTGGGGGCCTTGAGCTATTGCAATTGTATTAATAACTTTTCATCTGGTATAATTCCATAAAACCAAGAAAAGGACCATGTAGACTTGAAGGCCATTTTATTTTTCCCAAGATGAAAATCAAGCTAATTGTTGTAACAGGTTGCGGATTATTAAATAAAGGAAAGGGAGTAGAGAGGAGAGGGACATAACCAGAGAAAAAAATCACATACGTCATCCCCTGAGGAGAAGATAGGAAAGACCTTGGAAGAATTCTTCCTTGGAAAGACTTGTATCTAGCATTCAGTATTAAATGATATAATATTTGGAAAGTGCTTAGCACAGTGCCTGGCACACAATAGGCACTATGTACACACTGATTCTCTTCCCTTCCTTCCTTCAGTAAGGAGAAGGGAGCAAGAAGTATCAGGTATCATCTGACCAGTTCTACCCTCCATAGCAATGCTCACCTATATTACAATAGTAAATTTTGAAGGGACTCTGGAAAGACAAGCATTATTGATGGAGTTGGGAATTAGTCCAAATTCTAGAATTATACCAAAAAATTTATCAAATTGTACATATCCTTTCAGCCAGTGATAACACTATTAGATACATAACCCCAAGAAGGACAAAGACAGAAGGGAAAGTATACCTAGAATCTAGGTATACAAAAATAATTCTAGTTGCACTGATAAAAATATTTATGGCAGTAATTTTTGTAGTAGCAAAGAACTAGAAAGAAAGTGAATGTCCATCTCCTAGGGAGTGACTGAACAAAGAGGAATTTAATAGAATATTATTGTGCTATAAGAAATTATGGATATAAACTCAGAGAAATTTGGGTAGACTTGTGTGAAATGATGTAGAACAAAGTAGGAAAAACCAGGAAAACAATTTCCACAATGACTATAGTAATGTAAAGGAAAACAACATTGAAATATTTTGGAATTTGTACCAAGGCAGTGTTCAGTAACAACCTTATGAGACTAAGGGTGAAGCATGACTCCCATCTCTTGGTGGCAGACTGGGTGTCGAATGAGGTGTGGCTGTTTTCAGAGTTGCCCAATTTGTTTTGCTTGTCTGTATTTATTTATGTATTATGAGGTTTCTCTTGGCAGATCAATGGGAGAGGGGAAGTAACAGTGAAGTTCAAAAATTATCAACAAAACTTTAATAAATAAAATGCAAATAAACAAAATGAGGGAGTTGGGGATAGATGGTGTCTAAGGTCCCTTCCAGTTCTTACCCAGTTCTAACATTCTTTGTTCTAGGTTTCTTCTAGTTCTAAGAAGTTGTGACTTCAGACCCCCTTCAACTCTGACTAGATTCCATATTCTACAAAGTCCCTTAGATCTAATATTGCATATTTTGCACTCTAAGGTTCTGTGAAGCTTTTACTCCCTATGTTCTATCTTCATTTTTACCTGTAATACTCCGTGCTCTCAAATCCCCTTTGCGTCTGACATTCTGTGCTCTAAGACCTGTTCCATTTCTCTTAGTTGTATTTTCAGCTCCCGTTTTCAATGTTCTGACATTCCTTTCAGCTCTGACCTTTGTCTTCTAAGTTTTCTTCCAGTTCTTACATTCTATGTTCTATGTTGTAGTTCTAACAACTAGGTGTGAGACCCACTTAAGCCTGTCATCACTCAAAGAAGGCTGAAAACCTGGACTGGCCAATCAGAAAAAGACATTTGGCGTAGTCCAAGTTAACACTCCCACAGTTCCTTGCGATGCTCTTTGAGTGAATCCACAGTTTTCTTGCTACGTCAGCAATCGCAAGACCAGGTGAGGCTGACCGGGAGCCCTCTTCTGTTTATGACTGATAAAGACCAAGTGCCTTGAACTGGACACCATCTTGATTAATGACATTTTTCTCATCTTGTTGTTTTGTGGCCCTCTCTTGTAAGACATTCTCATGTTTTATGACATCCCCTTGTTAATGACTGGAAGAAACCAGACATTCGGGGGGCACTCTCTTGTTCAATGGAAACTATAATTTTGGCTGACACAGGCATCCTGGGTCAGAAGGGAGGGGGGAGCACTTCCTTACTCAATGGATATCTAGTCTCCTTCGACTAGCCTTTCTTTGAGCTCAATCTGATTGGGTTCTCATATATGCATGATTCTGCTAGCTTACAGAGAGTAAACAGCACATATATGACCTAATTCTGTTTGTCTCTTTTTAGACCAAACACAAAGTTGACACAGGGAAGCCTCAGCCTCTTCTTCTTCCCCAGGCTCTCTCTTGTCTGTGGTGGATGTGAGTCTTCCTTCTATGCGCCCAGAGACACATTGCCTTTGAAGTGAGAGGCCCCTCCTACCCACTCCCCTTATAGGGTTTCTAACAATGGAACCCTCAATCTGGGTGAGGGCCAGTCTTAAGGCCAGGAGGCTGCCCAAGCCACCCTCTTTCCCCCCTCTTTGCTTCTCACTCACTTGGCTGTGGTAACCTGAGAAGGAGCAATAGTGTACGAGTAGAGCAGCAATAGAAGGCCGGTAAAGAGGCAACCCAGAAGGAGCCCCTTTGCCATGCTGTGCCAGGGCTTCCTGCAGGATGGCATCTCAGTCACCTGGGGAACAGAG